AATATAGCCTATACGGCTCTAAGCTCAGAATAACATCTATACACCTAAGAAGACACGTTATAGGAATAATAATATATGTTATGTCCTCGCACCTCGGCTCTATGCCCGGCTCACGGCCTTAGTAAAGGACTAATATTCAATAGCTTGTCGTATAATCATCCATCTTTTATTTCTCTGTTAGAACCGGGTGGCGGCGCCACCGTACAGCGGTAACTATTATTCTATTGAAAACCTAATACATTACAATTTAGTATTTATATGAAATGCAAGTTCCTGTTGTGTTGGCACTATTTCGCAAATCCATCCACTGTGTTAAATCCATTTTCCAAAATTTTACACAAATATTTCATTAACAGATGGAGAAAAATTCAAAGAGAGTTGCGCCTTGCCTCTGGTGACATTATCAGTTTATTTATTTATCACCATAATTTGTAAAAATACAATGATGCAGAAAAAAAACATTATAATGAAGAACGTGTTAATGGTTAATTCAATTCTAAGTTCGGTGCACCTCAAGGCAGCAACGCTGAATCGAACAGCTCGCCTAACCTTTGCTTTGCACCTACCTGTGTTCCACAAAGTCGACCGTTCCATCCGTTGTAAGCAGTCGCACGCAGGTACTGAACTGATTACGGCAGTGCCGTATAAAATCAGTCCTATCCGACATTGTACTTGTAGGATCTACCAGGAGCGCCAAAAGGAGGGTCACAGGTCAAAGGGTCAATGGGGCACAGGCGCAGATTTAGACATTTTCTGAGGACATGGTCTGACGGAGCGATTGAAAAACTTTTATGTTTCAGCTGTGACCTACCATTTTTATGGCTTTATGAAAGGACCATGAAAATGTACTTTCTGCTGACATGCGAAGAGAGAGTGTCGATAACCTTTTGACCCTCAAGAGGAGGTTAAAACATGATTTGCTTTCTCAACTCCGTTGGCGAGTACCTGTAGGTTGTGGAAAGCTCCCATTTTTCAGTGAAATTCCACACATAACTCTTACTTGAACAACGCTTACTTAAGGAGATAATGAGATGACTTATATATAAGATTCTGTAGTGTACATTATGAATAGTTGGAATACAGTCACTAGCACTCAAATAATTACCAGAGTGAGGCTGCGGATTTCCCAGACTTAATTTTCTCATCAAATTTTGGCACCAATATAGACGCAAGTGTGTACGTTCTTGAGCTTATTCGTCCACTAATCACTGGCCTACCTTGCTACTGAAATTAGTTTACAGATATTTGCTATCGTATTGGCTGTAAATTGCTAATCTTGCCGAGCTGCCTCTGGTTGTAATCACCATTGAGCTATTTTTGTAACGAGCCAGATGTGCCTCGCAAGGGGTTTAATGTACCTTATTTTACCTGACACCATAGAACGCAACGTTATCTTATAGTAATAATTATGGGTAATTATTCGCCTCCTGCTTTTTGCAATCTGTCGTCACACTGGACGCTGCCATGCTTGGCTTGACCGCATGGAACGATGCCTTTGATAGGCGGCCCGCCATTCTATCGGAATTTTATACACTAGTTTGAAGTGGTTGTTTTTTGGGGTTAGAAATGAACGTATGTATAGGACGTCTTGCTATGCACAAAATGAATTTATCAGCAGAACACCAGACACCAGATGAGCCCTGTTGCTCTGCCGGCACTGTGTTCCATAGACTATCCTATTCATGATAGATATATAGGGCCTATGCATGTACAGGAGGAACCTAAATGAACCCAATAATTATATTGACTAAGGTGTAATAGATCTAGCTAGCTCTAAATTGTAACATGTATTTACTATTATGCTGTAATATATATATATTTTGTAATTAAGGTCTGTTGGAATACAACGCTGCTAAAGGGAGTGTAGAGGCAAAAAGCTATACTCGTCCTGGATGGTTTGATCATGAGCATCCATGCTCACCAGCTGAGAACAGGTGCAGAATGAGTAATTATGATAAGGAGTAGTACAGTATGTGGTCTGCACACTTCATCAATATCAGCTATACTTACGAGAATACCTATTGTTTAGTGTGGCTTAAAACACACAGCCTGTGATTTTTCTGCTGTATATTCTTTGACTATTCTGGTTGCCACTAGCAACTGGAATTATGGTAAACAAAATCTGACGTATCTGTAGGCACTAATGGAAGGTACATGTCCATTGTAAATTATTTATTGATTGCAATTGGTTCTTTGGCATAATAACTGAACATGACCTACCTGCGCTAAGAAACCAATCTGCTGTATTGTGCGCAATATCAAACTAAAAATTATTGATCACATGAGTAGCCAATCATGTTTCGTTGTTCTTGTATGTTTGCTGGAGCAAAGGCAAGGATTCGGTATGTAGCCTAAGGCTAATTTTCCATCCTAGTTTTTATGTTTTTACTTTGTAGGTACCTATGACTAGTTACATTAACAAATGTTTTGACTCATGCTATATTCCACATGCTGATCAACGTGTATTTGTGGCTGGGCTAGAAGCATTCTAGTAGTTCTGTAAAATGCATAATTTTTGTGATTGAGCTTAGAACTTATTTACTTCAGAGACGTTTCGGCTACATCCCACCTGCCAGATTACATGGTGTATGACGCACCTACTGTGCCACAAGTGAACCTTACACCGAAGTCAGAAGCCCGCCCACCGCCATTCTCACTGCAGGATGATATGAGTGTGTTCAAGAGAGAGGGAAAGGCTGCGACTGATAAAAGTGTCCGCATCTCTGGTGACAGGTCTGTTCCTCAAACTGATAGTTAACCTCCAACTGTGTGTGTGTGTGTGTGTGTGTGTGTGCGTGCGTGCGTGCGTGCGTGTGTGCGTGCGTGTGTGTGCGCGCGTGCGTTCGTGTGCGTGTGCATGCGGTTTAGCGTGTCGTGGCGTGGGTGTGTCGTGCGTGCATGTGTGCGGGAATTGCCTTCACTATGACTTATTTGGGAGGCACATGAAAATTCACATCTCAAATGTTATAGGCATCTATTGAATGCTAGTCTAACATATTGTCTCAGCAGACGACCAACCAGAAGACATGCTGATAAAATATGGAATCCAGAACCTGCAAAGCCTGTCAAACCTCTACAGGCCAGCCTTACAAGTGTTCATGACAAAATTCCAAAGAAACACATGTAAGTCAATGGGACACAACTGTAGATCCCATGCTTGTATTGAAAGCATATACCTTTGAATATACTTATAGATAAACCTTTCATATTCAACGAAATACATTCTGTTTTATTCAGTTTCATATGGAAGGCCATTACTGCCAAAACATACCTATTTTAATCGCGCTTAAAATGCATTTTAAGCACGATTGAATTCCAGCCAATGAGAACAGTGGTTTTTAATCGCGATTAAAATGCATTTTAAGCGTGATTGAATTCCAGCCAATCAGAACAGTGCTTTTTAATCGCGATTAAAATCGATTTTTGCGGATTTTAGGCGCAATTTTTGGCGCTCCTGGTAGATCCTACAAGTACAATGTCGGATAGGACTGATTTTATACGGCACTGCCGTGATCAGTTCAGTACCTGCGTGCGACTGCTTACAACGGATGGAACGGTCGACTTTGTGGAACACAGGTAGGCGCAAACCAAAGGTTAGGCCAGCCGTTCGGTTCAGCGTTGCTGCCTTGAGGTGCACCGAACTTAGAATTGAATTAACCGTTAACACGTTCTTCATTATGTTTTTTTTCTGCATCATTGTATTCTTAAGCTCATCTGACGTAGTCAGGTGCAGATTGTAGAATCGCATGATCGTCCGCCCGTCCGGCCGTCCGTGCGTCCGTCAACAGTTGGGCACAAATCTAAACGGCTCGACGTACGGATTCGAAAGTCGGGACGTGTGGGTGGTAATCCGAAAACGAGTTGGGATGTCGAAGCTCGGGGTCAAAGGTCAAAGGTCAAGAGGTGTAAAAGAAGGGGGAACTTTCCCTCCTTAACTTAAGGTATAACGAGGAAATGCAGAATTGCGGCACAAATCTAAACGGCTCGACCTAGGCTCGTGATAGTCAGTGTATAGCATCATGGTAGGAAAAGCCATCACTGTGCCGAAATTGAGGTCACCAGGTCAAAGGTCAATGGGGCACAGGCGCAGATTTAGACATTTTCTGAGGACATGGTCTGACGGAGCGATTGAAAAACTTTTATGTTTCAGCGTGACCTACCATTTTATGGCTTTATGAAAGGACCATGAAAATGTACTTTCTGCTGACATGCGAAAGAGTAATGTCGGATAACCTTTTGACCCTCAAGAGGAGGTTAAACATTGATTTGTTTCTCAACTGCGTTGGCGAGTACCTGTGGTTGTGGAAAGCTCCCATTTACAGTGAAATTCCACACATAACTCTTACTTGACACACGCTGTACTTAGGAGATAATGAGATGACTTATATATAAGATTCTGTAGTGTACATTATGAATAGTTGGAATACAGTCACTAGCACTCAAATAATTACCCAGAGTGAGGCTGCGGATTTCCCAGACTTAATTTTCTCATCAAATTTGGCACCAATATAGACGCAAGTAGTGTACGTTCTTGAGCTTATTCGCGTCCACTAATCACTGGCCTACCTTGCTACTGAAATTAGTTTACAGATATTTGCTATGCGTATTGCTGTAAATATCTAATCTTGCACGAGCTGCTCTGGTTGTATCAACCATTGAGCTATTTTGTAACGAGCCAGATGTGCCTCGCAAGGGGTTTATGTACCTTTATTTACCTGACACCATAGAACGCACGTTATCTTATGTAATAATATGGAGTAATTATTCGCTCCTGCTTTTTGCAAGTCTGTCGTCACACTGACAGACGCTGCCATGCTTGGCTTGACGCGATGCGAACGATGCCTTTGATAGCGGCCGCGCCATTCTATCGGAATTTTATTACACTAGTTTGAAGTGTTGTTTTTTGGGGTTAGAAATGAACGTATGTAAGGACGTCTTGCTATGCAACAAATGAATTTATCAGCAGAACACCAGACACCAGATGAGCCCTGTTGCTCTGCGGCACTTGTTCCATAGACTATCCTATTCATTTATGTTATGTCCTCGCACCGTCGCTCATGCCGGCTCACGCCTAGTAAAGGACTAATATTCAATAGCTTGTCGTATAATCATCCATCTTTATTTCTCTGTTAGAACGGGTGGCGGCGCCACCGTACAGCGGTAACTATTATTCTATTGAAAACCTAATACATTACAATTTAGTATTTATATGAAATGCAAGTTCCTGTTGTGTGGCACTATTTCGCAAATCCATCCACTGTGTTAAATCCATTTTCCAAAATTTTACACAAATATTCATTAACAGAGAGAAAAATTCAAAGAGAGTTGCGCCTTGCCTCTGGTGACATTATCAGTTTATTTATTATCACCATAATTTGTAAAAATACAATGATGCAGAAAAAAACATTATAATAAAAAAGTTAATGGTTAATTCAATTCTAAGTTTCGGTGCACCTCAAGGCAGCAATGCTGAACGAACGGCTGGCCTAACCTTTGCGCCCTACCTGTGTTCCACAAAGTCGACCGTTCCATCCGTTGTAAGCAGTCGCACGCAGGTACTGACCTGATACGGCGCTGCCGTATAAAATCAGTCCTATCCGACATTGTACTTGTAGGATCTACCAGGAGCGCCAAAAATTGCGCCTAAAATCGCAAAATTTATTTTAATGCGATTAAAAACACTGTTCTGATTGGCTGGAATTCAATCGCACTTAAAATACATTTTAATCGTGATTAAAAACCACTGTTCTGATTGGCTGGAATTCAATCGCGATTAAAATAGGTAAGTTTTGGCGTAATGGCCTATAGCTTCCATAGTTTCACGCACTTGAATTCGTACATGTTATATCTAATTGAATGCAATGGTTACAAATTGCTGCCAAATGGTCAAGCAGATATTCTAGAGATATTAGTGTAAGATAAGTAGGGATAATTTGTGCAGCCGCCTGCTCCTTATGAGGTGGAACCAGTGAATATGGCAAAGCTGTTGGCGGGTGATTATCAAAAGAGTGGCAAGATCATCACGAAAAATGGATTGGAAAACAGCTGATAGATCAGCAGTGAAGTAAGATAATAAAATAGATGTGTGCCTGAAGAAAATTTATTTTTATTCTTTACCTTAATCAATGGCATTGTATTCTTTCCCAGGATACTTCTTTAAATTTTGTTCTCTTTCTTAAACACTCAAATATTTACTACTATATTATGTTTGCAATGACAAAATTTCATAAGTTGGTAACTTTTTTTCACGTTTAGTAAGTTTAGTAAATTTATTTTTGTTGCTGCATGACACATGATTTTTTATTTTTTTTTTTTGTTCCTGAACCTAGTTGATCACCTCACGGGATCAACTGGTGTTCCTAAATTCCAGAGACCTGATAGCAGCAAATAGGAAAATAACACCATGTCAAGAGGCTGGAGGAACGGGAGCAGAAACCACTGTTCAAATAAAGCAGTAAGTAAATAAAAGATATTTCTCTATTATTCAAGATTTATATAGATATGCACATATACAGCTTGGCTAGTCAGCAGGACACGTAACAAGCTATATTGATGTTATTTCTATATAACATCTTTACAATATATAAAATAAAAGTGGTATGAATATGTTATCGGCATTTTGGACTGTTGCATAAGGCCAAAACAAAATATATGTGTGGTTACCGTTACATGCCGAAAAATAGGTTGGTATATAGGTAGGAAAATGGGATAATAAGGAGCATAAAAAGGAATTTTATTTTCTTGAAATATTTTATTTACGAACCATGTCTGAAGGATGTGCGTTGTGCCTTTTAAAGCAGGAACTGTCCAATTCATATTTTTTATTTTTTTTTTTTTTTTTTTATTTTAAAGAAATTGACAATAAAATGTTTAGGGTTGCTGGGAATAAATAGGGTCGGTCGGGAAACCGTAACCACACCTATATTTTGTTTTGGCCTAAGTGTATCGCATGGTAGTTTTCAGAAAGTTAGTTCCTTTAAGGGATCATTATTTACTGTTTTATTTACAAGTTTGACTGTACGCTGTTACATTGTATACATTTGTGCATACATGCACATAAACGATACTTATGTATTATTCTGATTATAATTTCAGATTTGAGAAGGTGGGTTCCAGGGTGCAGTCAATCCGCTCACCAAATGTCACAAAAACAGATGCTTCTTCTTCAGCCATTGACTAACATACACTATATAAGGATGGGTGAGGCAGCTTCGAAAATTCGTTCACGAAGTTTCAAAATTATTATATTATTTTTACTTCAAAATTTATGTATATATTTGTAGGAGTATACATATGATATCCCCTGGATACTGCTAAATGTGCATTATATTGTAGACCTAATAATCACAGCATTAACACAATACACTATTAATTAAGCATGTGACAGATTTGTGTGATTAAATTATTTGCTGGGTTTCAACAACCGTATGTTTGCCATGTTAATACCTCATATGACACCATGTGAGCAGTGTCACTCAAAACAGGTTAAACTCAGAAAAATATAAAGTATGATTTTTGGAGCCTGCATAAAAAGGTGAAGCACTTCTAGTTTTACCAACGTTTATTTTAACCCGTTGTTATATATTGTTTTTTACTACTTGAAAATTATTATGCAATAAAAGAAGAATTCGTTATTGGTATTGAAGATTAGATAAATGTAAAATGTAAAATAGACGAGGCATAAACATAAAATCAAAAAGAATATGTTTAAGTAACTTGAAAAGAAATTATAAATGATTATTTCTCAACTTATCTGTTTTTGTATATTAATCATCTTGAAATTATACACTGCTCTAGTTTGCTGTGTAATGTGACCTGATTTTTACCGTGCAGTTTTATAGATGGAATCGCTTCTGTACCAGCTCTCTGATGTACATGAGATATGGGTTGTATCAGTGTTATAGACGATTCGTAAGGCACGTCGGGAGATGCCCGACTGTGTGTAGACACGTGATCGTATAGGTCGTAATGTTATAGGTCTTGCGTTGTATATTGTTCTTCACCCGTTGTTATCTGTTCGTGCTTGCGTTTCCGCTTGAAGGAGATGTCAGACTTGCCTCTTGTGCGACGTAAGGCGAGTAGTGAATAACTTCACAGTAGAGATAACACGTATTTGTTGTAACAGACTAGTTGGTTTTATTCTACTCAGAGAATCACTAAATACAGACCAGGTAATGTTTTACAACACATATAAGTTCTTCTACTTTTTTATATCCATCGCGTGTGTGTGGTCATGGTGGGGGGGACGCGTATATGGTTTGGTGTGGGCGCTTATCTCCTGACCATAGTGTTGTGGCTATGGGCGAGTGAAACTGAGCCCAGCTGTGAATAAATTTTATATCGAACTTGATATCAAACCAGGGTCACATGACCGAAGGGCTGGCTGGTGATTGGGCCACACCTTTAGTATGCAGTTAAAAAACAAGCGGTCACGTTCACATTTAGCAATGATGTCATTGCGCTGAGAATATCCTGTGACTTATTCTTGACCGTGTTCCGGTTGCTATTCTTAACCTCGCTCAAGTTTCAGCACTCGCGCAGGTAGCTCTGCTACACACACCCCTTGCCAGAAAAGGTTGCTCGGCTCAATCGCCGACAACTGATGTCCAAAGAGTTCCACGTGGTATAAGTAATAAAGTCACTAATACGTGGACTCGTACACTAAAAAAAATGACTTAAGGATACTCTCCACGTTGTGCATGAAATTTCATCGATTTTTCGTTTTAAACTTTATTCAATGGCTAACGCTATGTGCCACCTGTGTACATGCTAATTTCTCCATATAACGGTACATGTAAACTGTCAGAGCGTTTTTGCTTGCCCGCGTACATGTGTAGTAAGCAACGGCTGACGTCATTATGACGTCAGAGACATGATACAACCACGATATTAACTAAGCCGATATCATTAAGCGTCAACCCTGCTACAGCTGTCATTACATGTATTCATGTACATTCATGTACATTTGATCAACATCAACCCTGCTACAGCTGTACTACTACCCTGATCCAATAAGTATCCCACAAGAGCCTAAAATAGTTCTCACACCTCGCAACGCACCTTACATAAGGCGCGCGTTTGTTGACAGTGACGTCAGGCAATGGGCGGGTTCGCGCCATTTGCATGAAATTGCGTTGGCCACCTCAGAATTTCTCAGAATTTCTCAG